TTTGAGGATGAATTCTTGATCTTTTGATGTTCTTTCACTCTCTTGTGGCTCCATCTTCAAAATATGAAATTTCAATGACAAACAAAATAGATTGCAACCTCACAAATCACTCCCTCACGTGTTTACTCTCGTAGTATGGGCACTCGTGTTTCACTCAATTTTGATTTTTACCCTATTTTGAGCTCACACTCTCTTGCTTTTTACCACTCAAGCAATCTTTTATAACTTTATATAAAAGGAAAAATTCAAACAATAATTAATTATCATATGTACTCAATTTTAATTAGATATAACAAAGAATTACTAAAGAAACAAGATACACAAATTCAATTCTAGAAGCAAACTAGAATAATCTAAACAATGAAGAGCACACACTTGATATAGAAATAAGTGTATTATGATTTTTATGTTAATTAGGCAACAATGAATCAATATTATTACCTCAAGATGTAATAAGAAGCAAATGGGTAGAAATATTAAATGAAAACTAAAGATGCAATAAAAAAAATGATGAATATGAAATTTAATGCACAAAACTTGTAATTCTCTAATAGAACCACAAATTATCATCCAAAACACTCAAATTAAGTGAAACAAATAGTTTTGGATGAAAATAAACTCAATTGAGGTGAGTTGTTCCAAACCACCCCAAAAATTACACAAACAATCTCAACCAAACAAACAGCCTTGAAACGAGTTTTCCTTTTAAATTTTAAATGTATTTGAATGTTATATGAGATAAATAAAAGGAAAATAATAGCAGGTGTTTGAATTACACAAGATAGAATTGGTTAAAATGTGTTTTTCACAATTAAGCAAATTAGGCTAATTTAATTTTTTTTTTTGCTGAATGCAAATTTGTTTTTTTTTTTTTGTAAGAAATAATGAAAATAAAGACAACAAAATAACGATGGACTAATTTACTTTGTGAACCAATACTCTGATACCAAATGATGCGGAACCCCAAGACCCTTGTTTGAACTTTATAACTCTTCAATCGATTTAAAACAGAATTTAGATCATAAATAAAAAGGAATCAAATATGTTCAATCACACAAATGGTAGAATTTAAATAGAACCCAAGAAAGATAAATGATATCCCTTGAACCCAATCCAAACAAACATTAAGAACAATTAAAATAGGAAATCAAAATTGAAATACAAGTGATAACAATTGTATTCCAAATCAACACCTTGTGCATAAAGTGAAAAGAAAGTCAAAACACTCTCAACTCAATTCTGAAATATTTTATTACAACTCTTGATGTCCATAAAGAAGAGTTCATTTGCTATTTATAGCCAAAGAAATCAATGATAAGTTATAATACAATAACTACAATTGTATCTCCCACAATAATTAGACTAATTATGTGATAATTACAATTGTAACTTTAATAATAACTAGACTAATTATAAGCATGTAATTGTTATGTAACTCCTTGTAACTCAAATCTTCTTAACCAACACCACTAATTGTTTCTGGCATCATATAGTTATGGACTCATTCTTGTAATAACGCTAA